CTAAAGTTTATGTAAATTTTAACATGATTTTTTATCACGTATAAAGATACGACACGCTTATGATTTTTCTTTGTGTTTTCCTCCTGAATTATTAATAGTTTTTTAAATATATACACAGTCTGTGTATACACAGAACGCGTCAGCATTGAGATGAAAGTCATGGCATTAGCACGAATTTTTAAAATCATGAATCCCCTACTTTTAAAAGTACTCTTCATATGTACATATGAAAATTAAGTGTCATGATAATTTCATTGGAGACTGACAGTGCGATGTTTTTACAAAAAGTTGTATTACCTATTATAATGGCAATTGATACACCAGGCGGAAATCTTATTTTAAATCTGAAGATGTTGTATTGTAAACAACGAAACGTTAGCTGATGTTTCTTTTACTTTTATTATGTTTGGTTTTAAAGTTATTTGCTGGGCTCTGCTCTTTACCTGTTATATAACCTGCGATCAGGCTCTATTTTACAAGTAATAGCCTGACACAATCCTTAATCCGATCGCTTTCCACCCACAGCAAAGTTTATATTTAGTGTCCAATCAAAATGTCGCAGGAGAAATTTAAATTTCACACAACGACAACAACAATCTAATTATAGTTGTGATCATTATAAATATATCAACGACAATATATAATGTAATTAGCACCAACCAATTAAATGACAGATTAAAAAATCTTTTGTCTCATAAACCAATCAGATTTACAACCGAAATACGGTTGTAAAAACATGGACTTTTGTTAAGATTTGTATCAGGCCTATTTATTTATCTATAGGCCTGATCGCAGGTTACCTGTTATAGGTCTATGAATACACTTTAAACTGATTTCCTCAAAAATCGTGGTATTTAAAGACTTTGCCATGAGAATGTGAGAAGCGGCGTCGACATCAACAACATGCAAAATAACATTGAGTAAAAATACTCAAATAATTATATGAGCTATACAATAATATATACGGTACAGGGTGTCTAAAAAAAAGAAGACTTTAGAAATTCACCTTAGTTATAATTTGAATTCATGAGTAGCTACTACTGTATAAGAAACACAAATGATCGAATTTTATGCATGAAAGTTATTTAAACGTTTTTGGTTTCGTTCAATATATAATTATATGTGCTGAGTAATTTAACGCAGCGCGTAAAGCAGTAAAAACTTGTTGCGCTGTTGCATGTTGACTCCTTCTTTAATTAATCCTGTGAATATTTTTACGCACCCATGGCCCGTGGGTTCAGCATAGTGCCCAGCAAGCTGCTCCATTTACTGTTCGGAGTACTCCGGATTTTCGGAACACTAATGGAATGGAACAGACGAGAGTCACATGACTGTTCTGAACTGATCTGACTACCCCGATTTTCGAGTAGGGGCAGCCAGAACAGACACGTGACACTGCCCATTTTCACGTGACACTGCCCATTTTCACGTGATTGGAAATGGAGGCGACATATTTTGTGTATCCAATGCACACTGTATATTTGAAGAGTTATCCGCTATATTTCGACATATACTTATTATATGCTATTTGAACGCCAGGGTTGGGCAAAATCAACGAGTAAAAACGTTGCAAACGCATACTTAGATGTACAAGTAACAGCGAATCATTATACGTTTTATCATGCGAATAACTAGTTAATATAGTAAGCCCGTTCTCCAATGGACGATTTTTTTCGCGCGACGCGAAGCGAAAAACAAATCTTGGCAATGTGATTGGTCAGCGAAAAAATTCCCCGCGAAAATGTTGGATCAGTTCCTACTTTTTTACTGGTCGAACGAACAAATTCGCCTAGTGGAGAACGGGCTTAAATATGAAATACTAGCTAGTTTCATTCTATTGGGCTCGAAAGTGAAACAATGATTTGAGTAGATTCCTTATTGTTTTCTTTCCTGTCGTGGGCGAAACCCTCGCGACTTTGCACTGGTTAACGTCAAGTTTGCACGTTTCGTACTTTTTTACATCTATAAATGCTAGTATAGCTGTACATGCCCATCAGAACAAAACTAGAAGCCAGTTTAGCAGCAGCTCGCTGACACAAATAATTTCAGTGAAAGATATTTTACTTGGGAAGCTAATGATGAAGATCTTTATGATTTTACTATGTATATTTTTACTTCGTTCGCCTTGTGCTTTTGGTGGTGACGAGTGTTGTCTTGACAGTGGTGACACAGATAACTGAAATTATCTTTTTGTTAATTAATCAGAGGATTATAAATATAGGTTCCTGAATATATATTGGTAACAGAATATATATTGGTAAAATAAAGTGGATTTTTTCTTCGTGATTTGAAATTGATCGTCTCAGCGTTATGACTGGCGAGCTGATTTTCTTCACATGTGGAGAATTATTGTCTCAACGTTTCTATTGGCGAGTAATTAAGGGTTTATGACAGCACCAATGTTGTTTGGAACTCTATATAATTCTACCATGGTGCCCGGTTTAGCGACGTTGCAAAAGTGATCGACTTTTTTCGTAGCGGCGATTTTTCGATTTTCGCTGAGAGTGAACTTTGATCCTAGTTTAAGTTTTCAAAATAGTTAGAGGCGCTATTAATTAATTAAATTAAAACCATTTTGAGTTGTTTGGTCTTTATAGGTCAATATAATTACGATCTTTTAAAATTTCCTCTCATAAACGGTTAATATTTTAGTTCAAAGGCGGAAAAAATCGAGTCAGGTTGCCGAATCGTGCCCTAGCTTCTAAAGACGGTCGTTCCTAAACCGTTTGATTGCGGAATTTTATTGGGCAGAGAATGACGAAATAAACAGAAATATATATATATATATAGCTTAAGATTTTGGTTTACGAAACACAAACAGTGCTCAATACCATATAGATAGAGCGTAATATAGTTTTTCGTTTTACCTCAAAAAACCACAACAGTCTGTTTCATCCGTATACCATTTTTGAGGTAAAACGAAAAACTATATATATATATATATATATATATATATATATATATATATATATATATATATATATATATATATATATATATATATATATATATATATATATATTTATATATAAATGTATGCCAATTCACTGAGAGGGGTCATCATCTATCTATACTATCCAGGCTCGTGGTTGGTTGATTGTAACAATGAAAAATAAGACAATAAAACTATACATAGTATGATAATTTAGTTGCTGAAAGCCAATTACAAAACATGATCATTTTAGGTAGATCTTTACCCGATGACTCGCATTCCAATGACGGTGTTCTGCGTATATGGATTTGTAGCTGAACTATTTTATAACACCTGTACGTCATTAAAACGTCGTGCTTGAGTCATGTGCTTAACCTAATAGGCAATTCCAGCTTTTAGTTTATGCCTGCAGGGGATGATGGGAAGTAAGGGATCATATTGCTGATTATGCTGAAAAATTTCAATAAAAACTACCGAAACAACCTAAATATTTCAATATTTACAAGTATAAGCTATCACTCCGTGTTTAGCTACAGTTACATTAACACGAGTGGAAATTGGGAAAACGGTTTTTTTCATAATCCGAGAAATTACAAGACAAAGAAAAATTCCGCTCCACGTGCAAATTCCGCCTATGGAAAACAGCAGCGGCGGCGCTAACCCTCTTCGAGTGGGGGTGTGTGAGTGATCTTTTGCCGACTGTTGTTTGGTAATTTTGCCGAGTCATTAGCCTATAATTGTTGGTCCGGGGTGAAGTCCCAATCCCATTTTTCACCTGAAATTTTGGCAAAATCCCAATTCCAGTTGGATTTTTATTAGAAATCCAAGTCCGAGTTATTGAATTCCCAGTCAATAAAAAACCCTTTATTTATCGGTAGAATAAACAGTTTTAAGACCTTTTAAGCCACCGTATGTGCAAGTGGCGGACACTTTATGAATCCCGGAAATGGCATTTGCATCATTCTGAGACACGCATAATCAGAAAACCCAAAATTCCGGGCGCCAGAGTATGCCTGTTCGCAGGTAATGCTGTGAATAATATAGTTAACAACAAAAATCATGACTAAAGACACAAAAACGGATCAAAATTGGGATACGACTCACATTACTTCAATCCCATTCCCATTTTTGAGGACTTCATTTCCCATTCCCAGTGACCAAATGCCAGTCCCAGCAACCCAAATCCCATTTTCCCAGTCTAAAAATAGATCAATCCCAGTTCCTATTTTACCCCCTTCAGGGCCATATATAGTAAATATGCATGTTTAAATGCGCTTTATTACCCTCTATTAAGTCGGTTTTCCACTAGCGAATTTTTCTGCCGAAGCGACCTTTTTCCTTTGTCGGCATCCATTTTGCAGCCCTCGAAAAGTCAAAACCGTCAAAATTGAGGTAGACAAAAGAGGGCCGACCTAAATCTGACCTAGGTCGGCACATCTCGGCATTTCTTAAAATCTGTTCCACGTCTTGGAGCAATATTAATCATGCATTTACGAATCATTGAAATCGGAATATAACTGGAACGTTACCTCCAGTCGGAAAATTCGAAAGTTGGAGCCAAATTTTAACTCCAGACGCGCGAAATTTGATCTTCAAACATATAACGTATATACACAATACCCGTCAGTTTTTAAACCTTACACCGTAGTGTGTTCAGTTACTAGAATTCGCTGACATTTTAAAAGCTATCAGCATAAAAAATTCTTACTTTGGTTGAATTAAGGTGGGCAAAAATTTGCATTTAACCCGGCATTGCCGAATGCCGACCTCGTTTTCGAGGACTGATTTTGCCACGTCTTGCTGACGTAATAAGTGATACCGACAAAGGAAAAAGGTCGCTTCGTGCGAGAAAATTCGCTAGTGGGAAACCGACTTTATTCAATTCAAATTCAATTTCAATTCAAAAGTCTTTTTAATAGATCAAAAGATAAAAATACATATCTTATGTTACAAGTATATATTAAGAATACATTAGTAAAGTTTACATCATATGAATAGGTTATAGTTAAAAATTAATCTATTTGCAAACGACAATTTAAAACGTTCCGTGTTCACTCTTGGATACTGACTAAACTCTGTCCTCAAAGAGTAGCTTGTGGATTTTTTTTCTTGGTATCAAGCCGACTATGGCACTCTTCTGATTTACAGAAGCTTTAAAAATATTTCTGTCTTGTATTTCTAAAAGATATCTAATATTTACAGGTTCTGACATATACTTTCGCTTAAAACATCTGTCAAAAAACCGTTGTAGAGTATTGAGTTCGGCTGGAGAAGAACCGTAGACGGACAGGCCAAACGTTATAGTTGATATTACTAGGGTCTTAAATAGATAATCTATCTCACATTGGCTAGCCTTCTGCCCTGAGTGTTCGTATAACGTACAAGCATTTGTTTGCTTTGACCAATTTACCTCGAACATGACTGGTGAACTTGAGATTGTCTTGAAAAGTAGTACCTAAAATGGGAAGTTCTTTGCATTGGGGTATATTATAAACATTGTCAAGTTGATCATTATATCCCTTCTTCCGGATGATAAGCTCTTTACATTTACCAGGGTTACAAGTCATAAAATTATCATCAGACCAGCTCAGGAATTGTCCAACTGTATCTGTTGATGTATCAGGACCCTCCCTCCAAACTGGCACTATTATATTTGAATCGTCCGCATATTTAAAAAGAGCGTTCTCGCCGTCTATGTCCACCTCTAAATCATTTAGGAAAATATTAAAAAGGTAGGGGCCACTTACGCTCCCCTGTGTTGTACCCTTATTAACATCCATCCATTCTCCACAAAAATCGTTACAAACGACTCTTTGCTTTCGATTCTTTAGAAAATTTAAATACCAATTTATGATATAAGGGTTGAGTGGCACAGTTTTTAACTTTTCCGAGAGGAGTGAATGTTTCACTGAGTTGAAAGTCTTGCTAAAATCCATAGAAAACAGTCTAACTGCTTTGCAGTCCGCTCTATCTAAGAAGCTGAGTACTTTGTTCTGAATAGTTAACAGAGCGTTTGTACAACTCCCCCCCTGCCTGTACGCAAATTGCGTTGGGGATAAAATTTCCTCAACTGTCGACTTGACCTGACTA